TGCCCTTGCCACGAGAATTGGTCTCCGAAAGCCTCGTATCTAGCCATAATTAATACGAATCAGGCAATATAAATTATTGTAATTAATTCCATAAGGAAATACTAATTTTTCCAATAAAATCCAAAATTAAATCAAAAATCGCCCGTAGGGCCCATGTCTCGGAACCCGACAAAAGTTACAGATTATGAACGCCCATCCAACCACGAGTCCAACCATATAAATTTCACCAAAATCCGGCATCAACCCGACCCTCAAATCTTCAATTAAAGTCTATGAAGATTTCTACCATTTTCAACCCAATCCGTACCCATTTGAACTTAATAATCCTTCCACAACCTTATTGGTATGTAAACATAATACTCTTACACCCAAGAATCATACTATAAATCACCTATTTTTATTCCAAACCCGAAATTGAAGGATTGAGCAATGAAATTCTTACCTCTTTGAAGCCCTAGCAAGATCCTTGTAAAATCTTCAAACCTTGAACAAGAATTGATGGATAAATGACTAAGTCTTCACTTTCTCTCTCTAAAATGCTCTCACCTCTCTCTAAAATATCAGATTTTGGCTAAAAAATGAGCTTCAAGGGTTATAAATCGAAGTTGGATCGGGTAAAAAATTAGAAAGAATGGAAGCTCCAACGCAGTTATGCGATCGCATATGTGATCGCATAACAGGTATGCGGTCCGCATACCGGCCGTATAATTTGGCCTCCAAAGCTGGGCGTTACTAACCTGGTCTGCGATCATTATGCGATCCGCATACTTGTTTTGCGGTCGCATAATACACCGCAAAACAGGTCTGCGGTCGCATGGTGCACCGCATATTTTCCTCAAATCTTGCCCCTCTCCCGAACCACTTTGCGACCATTATGCGGTCTGCAGAGTGATTCTGCGACCGCATAGTGGTCGCAGAAATGACCATTTTTCGACAAGATTTTCCTTAGCAAAATTTCTCCGAGGTCGTTACACATAAGTTAACATCCGGTCAACCTTTTCAACTTAAATTCTAAACCTTGGAACTAAGCGCTCTAAATCATTTCAAAGCCTCACCGAACCCAAACCAATTACCTCGGCAAGCCAAATAACAACTGTAATTCATAATTTGAGTATTAAATGGGGGAACGACATTGCAATAGTCAAAACGACCGGTCGGGTCGTTACACCATCCACTTACAAGTTCAACCATACTAATTTCACTCAAATCCGACTCCGAATCGGTGTTCAAATCTCGAAAATTTATTTTATAAAATTGTAGAAATTCCTCCGATTTCTCTTGAAAAATCAATAATCTAACGCCAAAAACGAAGATTAATTCATGGAATATAATCACAAGGGAGTCAAGAACACTTACCCCAAGTTGTGTGAAAAATTTCCTCTCCAAAGTCGCCCAATCCGAGCTCCAAAATCTGTAAATAAAGAAAGAAACCAAACCCCACAATTTTATCTTCTGTCCAGTCATTTACTCTTCGCGATCGCGAAGCACAAAAATTTCCAGCCCAAAATTTGCCTTTCGCGATCACAAAGAACAAGTGCCCAGCTCTTCCAGACAGCCTGTAGTATAATGATCATAACAATTTGTACAAAGCTCTAAATTGCAAATGGTTTAACGTTCTGGAAATTAGACATCAACGGCTATAACTTTCAGTTGTTTCTCATCTCCCAATTCCTTATAGGTTGCGAGATATAAGCTCTCAAAGTCAGCCCTGTACAACAGAGATTTCTAAATTCTTCCCAGATAGCCTATAGTATATCTACCATAACTTTTTGTACACAGCTCCAAATAAAAAATAGTTTACCTTTTTAAAAACTAGACACAAAGGGCTACAACTTTTATTTTTATATCATCTCCGAATTCCTTATAGATTGCGAGATATAAGCTTCCAATATTGGGTCAGTGTAACAGGATTTTCCTCTACGCGATCGCGAAAAGACTTCCGTAATCGCGATTCACAGTGCCCAAACAGCAAAATTGCTCTTTGCGATCGAGACCATTTGTCCGCGATCGCGATGCATACCTCTATGGCCAAAAATCAGCAACTAAGAATGGCCTAGAAATGGTCCGAAACCATCCTGAAACTCATCCGAGCCCCTCAGGACCTCAACCAAATATACCAACAAGTCCTAAAATATCAAACGAACTTAGTCGAAGCCTCAAATCACATCAAATAACGCTAAAACCACGAATCATGCCCCAATTCTAGCTTAATGAACTTTGAAATTTCAAATTTCCACAAATGACGTCGGAACCTATCAAATCAAGTTCGATTGACCTCAAATTTTGCACACACGTCATAAATAACATAACAGACCAATTAAAATATTTAGAATCGGATTTCGACCCCGATATCAAAAAGTCAACCCCCCGGTCAAACTTCCCAAAAATTCATCTTTCGCCATTTCAAGCCTAATTCCTCTACCGACCTCCAAATAAATTTTCAGACACGCTCCTAAATTCAAAATCACCATACGGAATTATTGGAATCATCAAAATTCAAATCCAAGGTCGTTTACACATAAGTCCACATCCGCTCAACTTTTCTAACTTAAAATTTTTAATTATGAGACTAAGTGTTTCATTTCACTCCGAATTCCCTCCGGACCTAAACCAACTAATCCGGTAAGTCTTAAAATGACTGTAAAGTATAAATTGAGCAGTAAACTAGGAAACGGGGCTGTAATACTTAAAACAACTGGTCGGGTCGTTACACTTCTACCCTCAATACTATTCAAAATCATACAATGCAATTTACTCTTCTACATCAAAAATTCTAAAGGTTATTGATAAAATTCAAAGAGACTTTATTTGGGGCAGTACTGAGGATCATAAGAGATTGCACTTGTTAGGCTGGAATGATATTACTAGGAATAAAGTCACTGGGGGTCTTGGTATTAAAAAGACTAAGTCTAAAAGTCTGGCTCTACTCACAGGGCTCACTTGGAGATTGCTAAACAACCCGCATGCTCCTTGGTCTAATCTTCTTATTGCTAACTACGCCACAAGGACCAGGAAAATTAATACTTCTTTTTTTGGAGTGCGATTATTAAGGGCTGGAATTACTGTGGCAAAGGAATTTTATGGTCCATTTGCTCTAAGTCAACAATAGACATATGGAACTCTCGATGGATCCCAAATAGTGAATCTCTTAGGAATTCAATCCATGGACCCCTTAATATCAGTGACTATAATCTAAAAATCAAAGACTTGTTACTGGATAAAACCTATAATTTTTTCAAGTTATCCTTTGTGCTTCCTAGTAGAATTACTGACCATATTAATACTATCCCAACCTCTTTACATGATACCAACTATGATGTCCCTATATGGTCTCTCAACATTAGTGGTAAATTTAGTAATAGCTCATGCTATAAGCTTATTGATGATCAAAGCAATAGCAATAAGGACTTCTCCTGGATCTGGGATATTCACACCCCCACAAAGATCAAATTTCTTCTTTGAAAATACTACCATGATCGACTCCCTTGCAGATCCTATTTCAACAATATAGGAATAAATATCGATGATATTTGTCCTATGTGTAGAAATGATCGCGAAACTATCCTCCATATCTTCATACTTTGTCCTATAGTTAAAGCGTTTTGGGAAAGCCTAATTGTCTCTAACCCTCTAACTAGTGGAGACACTCATTGGTTGCTCGCAATTAAAGACCTTAAGATCAACTCCATCACAAATATATCAACTGGGCGGATCGTTTATCTTTTGCACTATGGAGCATCTGGAATAATCGAAACAAGAATAATGAGGAAAATACTAACCACATTTTATGTCCTAAACTCGTATTTCAACAGGCAATGGAATACAAACTCCTCACAGCCAAAGAGCAAAGTTTTGATAAGAAAAAGCCTATCAGAGTCAGTTGGCACAAACCTCCTTCTGGATGGTTTAAACTCAACACTGATCGAGCTTTTCAGAATAATAAGCTACGCAGTGATCTAGGCGGGATCATCAGAAACAATGCAGGAGATTGGGTGGCCGGTTTCTACGATTATACCTACGCATCATATCCTATCCAAGCTGAGCTACTTGCTCTAAAAGCAGGCCTCCAATTGGCACGCGAGCTTCAGCTCATTCAAATAGAGATTGAGACAGACTCGTCAGAAGTAAATCAAGAGCCTTGAACAAGGTTACCCTTCATATGACGCTATTATTCGTGATTGTAGTTTTTTTATGCTCCGGTTAGAGACAGTGGTGGTTAGGCATCAACTATACCAATTTTTAGTTGACCGTTTTAATTATTTGGGAACTCCCCAGCACACGAGTTTCTTAGAAAAAAAAAAATATAGAAGGCATGGTTGGGTTATTGGTGTGATGGGGAACTAGAAAGGGAATGGTTTATAAGTTGAATTGTCCGGAGGTGATGAGAGCATTGACCAATTTATAAATTCAATTAGTTGGAGGGAGCTTATAATCGCGTTGAATGCGTCTTATAAATTGCGTTTAGCTAATACGACTTATAAATCGTAATTAGTGGACAATCGTAACCAATGAATGTGACTTATAAATCACAACTAATAAATGTGTAATCGCAATTGGTCAATGCGACTTATAAATCGAATTAGTAGTATAAATCGCAATTAGGAATGTGGCTTATAAATTGTAATTGTAAATGCGAGTTTTAAATCAGAATTAGTGAATGCGACTTATTGTAGTTAGTGCATGCGGCTTATAAATCGCAATTAGTAAATGCTAACTTATAAATCGTAATCGTAAATGCAACTTATAAATCGGAGGGGACTTGTACACTTCGACTCCAAACGCACCGGAATAGGTGACTATTTTGTTTGTAAACAAAAAAAGGTCAACAGAATGTCTTTTCGTCACTAAATTACAGCGTGAAGGAAATTCCTCTGAGCACATGCACTAGGCTTTTGCAGAGGAGGAGTAGTAGTAAGATCTAACCTTCAGATTAAAAATCAGGGTGTTTTTCATCTGCATTAATTAATTCCCACGAAATTTTAAAAAATTAACAAACGATATTCATCATCTAAAAAAGAGAACACATTGCACAACTGTATATCAGTACAATATCTTATTGGATTCATTATACACACAAGCAACAGAAGTAAATTACTCGGCGGAAATCCAAAGATTAACGAGACCAAAGCAGACACAAATTACATGGAAAATAGCTACGATATTATTTAGTACTAAATAATTAAACACCACAGAAGTCTTTGAGTAAATCCTGCGATCTCCGACCACGTTCTGTGTCAAAAAACTTGATCAAATCTATATGAACAAATGGCTTAAACTGCAATGGATGTTCTTCATCAACTAGTTCTTCTGCTACTTCTATCATTTTATCATCCTTTAGAAAAGTAAATATTCCAACAGTGTATCTTGTTTCATTCCCACTTATATCCATAATCACCTTATGGACAGGCGTAAGAACGCGATCATTGCTCCAACCCTATAAAATAGAAAAAGTTTAACTGACAGAAAATAAAAATATATACATTGGAGGTCGCAATAAAGCTTAGTTTAAAGTTTACTCTGCATGCTTCACCAGCCATGACTACAAAAGAAGAGGGTGGGAACTCCATATTTATCCATTGTCCATCTCGAGTTTGAACTTCCAAGCCTGAAATGCGATTTTGATATAGTATGGTCGTGAATGTTTTATCAGTATGTGGGGGGAAAACCATACTATTTTCCTTTGTATTTGGTGCGTCATATTTCAGGTATCGAAGTAGATACGTGGTTGATTCAAGGTACGATTCGCAGTTTTTCCCTATTCCATAGCTTTCAAATAGCATTCTTACAACTTTCTGGTCCAACTCCGCCACAATCTTTGAAAACATCAACGAATTCTCACTATAACAAAAACAAAAACAAAAGAATTATTTTTCTAAGTATAAATCGAAGTCCAAAGTCGTGATTAGAGATGATTTCATATTGAACAATGTATAGAACATCAATAACAACATATTCAGTGCGGTCCCACAATTGAGGTCCGGAGAGGATAATGTATACGCATACCTTACCATTACCTTGTGAAGGTAGAGAGGATCTTCCGATAGATCCTCGGCTCAAGAAAGACATGCAATATCGAACAATGTATGTGCGTATGCCAAAAGAAGTACTTATTAAAAATGTACTCCGCGGTATAAATATATCATATGTATTTTGAACCTAGTAAATTGAAATTCTGAATTTGCCTACCCAAAAAAGTCGTTTCCTTGAGGCCACATGAGGTTGGAAAAGCTTTGAATACCTTGAGAAGTAGTTGCATAGTCAATGCCAAAAGCTTCATGATGAGGTAGAAATGGAATTTGGCCAACATAACCATGATAAGGTTTTTCATTGGTATTTAGGACTTTTTTCTCTAAAGGGAGCTCAAATAATTGTTGGGAAGCTTGAAAAATGGATTTTTGAAGTTGGGGTGAGATTTTGTCATAAAGTGCTATAAAGCTGCCATGGTTTTCAAAGGCAAACCTGATTTCTTTACATGTAGATTCCCAAGTGGCTGTGCCTGGTCTTAGTTCTTCATTATTGAAGTTTACTACTAGTAATTGTGGTGAAGCTGTTAAAGAACCCATAAATTTCTATCTTTTCTAGTTTTTCTTTTGGTTTCTGAGATTTATGTAACTACTTGGATTACATGCTTAGCTTCTTATACAAAATTTAAAATTCTAAATTAATTTTAAATCATTTTATTCAAAATCCATTATATGAAATTGGTAAAAGCTCCAAATCTTTTATTTATCGGGTGAACTATGTTCTCATTTGGATATAATTTTTTTTTTACTTTTTTCAAAAATTTAAAATATTATTTGTTCGTGAAATTTGATCAGTTCTTGAAAAGCTTTCAAGTTCCAAAAACTCGTTTGGGCAAGTTTTGGGTGAAATTTTTCTTTCACTCATAAACTTTAATTTTTTTCAAGTAAAATGCATATACAAACACAACTTCAATTAAGAGTACAAAGAAGGCTCTCACATACTTGTTAATTTTGACATTGAAATTTTCGAAATTCATGTCGAAACGTTCAAATACTCATCTGTGACAGGGATGGCGGTAGGTGTATTTTTTATTCTTTTACTGTTATTAAGTACTTGATTTCCAAAGAAAACTTTTATTTGTAGAGTACTTTTTATATATCTTGGTTTAATGGTTTCTCTCTGTAGTGTATTGTGACCTCAACTTCACTTGTTATGGTAGGTATTATTTATAATTTTTCAGATGTGTTAAATGCTCTGGGGAGGGGGGACCTGATAGTTATTGGTACCTTAATGCATTCATTAATCTAGATTATGAAAAGGATTCGTGTACTTTTTAAAAGAATTTGGTCTATGTCTACTCAATTGTTTTCGGGATTAATTATTTTATCAAAAATGAGTAACAATTAAATTTGTACGCGATTTAAAAGATATGTGATTTAATTCAAAACGAATGATTCAGAACAACAGATAAATGAGGTAAAAATAAAATAAATGATCAAACCAATCGCAATGTAATGACCAAGTCTAATCTTAGATTAACCAATAGAATTCGTCCTCGATTGGACCTTCGGTACAAGCCTGGTCGCGAGTAGGGAAAAGAACAAATGAATCATACTTTGAACAATAGCTGGAAGACAAAAGTAAACTTTTATTACTTTGATTTGCATGTCACAATGTGTAAGAATAAAAAAAACATTCCCCTTTATATAGTAGGAGAATTTCAATCCTAGTACAAGTCCAAGTAGAGGTAAAAATCTTCTTTTTTCGGTAAATCTCGATCCGTGGTTGATATTGGACAGGATTCGCGCCGTAATATCCGATTGAGACCGAACATTACGGCCCCCTACTCGTCATGCATTACCATTCTCCGTATTTTCCGAGGTCCAGAAGCTATACTTGGTCTGGATCCGTTATCCCACCGTCCCCGATCTCGAATACATCGTTCGTTCCTTCGGGTTTCGATATGAGAGGTTCTTGGGCCTCGATTGTAATCATGTCGGGACATGCTTTCCCCTTGTTTCCACATCGGGGACAAGGGGAAAACTCCGCCCCCGATTTTACCCATACACAGATAGTCTCCTCATTTTCCAAAGAGTAGATTTATTGAAGCGAGGGAAAGTGATAAAATAACCCTGTTCCTTCTTCCGTACACTAGAACCGAGTTGACGTGTCAACGAAACGTCCCATTAGTCTCGTCGTTCTGACTTTGGACACGTGTCAGCCGTAAGTTGATCGTCCCCGAATGCGAAACGTCACACATTGATTACCCTTTCTCTATAAAAGCTTCGATCTCCTTTTCACTTTTTTACTTACCGATTCCAAAGCTCCTTGACTTACCATCGAATTCTTCACTTAATCCTAACTCCTTCCAACCTTCATATATTATTTCCTATATATTTATATTTACATATTCAAATCTTCATACTCCTTCCTCAAATCTTCAAATTTGACCTTCAAATCTTCATTCTTATCTTCATCCTCACCTTCAAATCTTCATTCTTACCTTCAAATCTTTATATTTTCCAGAATCTGATGGCAAAAAGGTCCAAATTTGTGCCTCAGCAGGACGTTCCTTCAACTTCCAACACGGCCATGGATGCCGAGGTGGTCATTCCCGAGGTGGCCCCAGAGCCTCCTTTGAAGAGCTTCATCTACGGGGGCTGCTCCATTGAGAACGACTTCAAAGTTGAGAAAGCCTCCATTTAATAGGACTGAGGCGAAAGGGCATGGAGGTATATTTGCTCCATTACCGAAGATACACTCCGTATAGTTTGGGAGGACTGCCACTGGGAAGGTATAGAGGTGGTCGTTCCCGGGCCTAATAAAGACATTACCACTCATGTGGGAGGGGTATCTAAGTATTTACACTTACCTCTTCACGCTTACCCCGGTAGACCCTATAATCCTCAGCTTATGTAAAAGGTATGAGGTTTGCCTCTTGACAGATCCACCTGTCCTTTTGGAGTATCGTAATTCTCCTCTGCCACTTTGCCAACAACACCGAAGCACCGCGGTTTACCCTCGACCACCTGCTTCGTCTCTACAGTCCTCGAGTTTTTCGAGAGGGGTTGATCAAGCTCGTCCGTCGAGCAAGCAAAGCTCCGTTCTCGAGTATTGATGAAGATCGAGATCGAGGTTTGCAGGGGAAGTTCATTCGGGTGAAAACCGAAGACCTCATTCCCCCTGAATTTCTACCGTTCCTTGAAAAATGGAACTTAACCCGTAAGTTTTCTTTCCTTCTTGAGTACTTGGTACTTCCTTTATTCTTTCTCTAATTGCATGTGCCTATCGTTGTGCAGCAGTCACCCAAGTTCCCAATGCAGTGCCATGTTTCAAGGAGTGGATCGAGGGGATCTGCAAATGAATGTCGTATTTTGAGCGTGAATGGCACAAGTTTTCAAAGATCAAGTGGGAGGCCCATTCTTATGGTGAGTGCTCTTTCTGAACAAGTTTACTTTCATACTCAGCTTTTATTTCTACTAAGTCTTTTCTCTTTTACAGGTTTACCCAAGACCACTGAGCTTCGGCCATTGGATAAGGATGAGGCCCCGTCCTCACTTGCCGAACCCTCCTCTTCGGGACAGTCCGGAGCTACTGCACGGGAGGAGAAGAAGAAGAAAAAGAGGAAATCCTCTGGTTCCCTGGACGTCGAGGTCAAAAAGATGAGGGTAACTCTCCAGGTCCAAAAAAGCAACAAGAAAAGTACCCGAGCCAGGGTACCGGACCCCGACTCCCTCTTCCGGCTCAGGGATTACCCTAAAGATGATGATCTCGAGCTCATCGCTCATGGGTCGATCGTTGACAAAGGAGAGTAGGTGGCTACCGAGGAAGGTGGTCGATGCTACTTTAGCTCGGAAGCCAGAAGGAAAATCAGAGGCTACGGCCTCCCGAGAAACTATCCCCGCCTCGAAAGAAGTAGTTGGCATCATTGACTTCGCGGAATCGCCGTCTCACACAGAGTCAATGTTGGACGAGGCATAGGCCGACAAGGAGAAGTCAAATGAGACAACACGGGGCACAGACGAGGCCCTCAACATGTATTTCGGCGGCATGGACAAGGGTGCGTTGGAGGATTATTCCGGGCTTGGTCACTTGGAGGTCCCGAAAAAGGATGTGCCATCTAGAGCATGTGAGTCGAGCTCGAGCCTAAAGCTGGTGAGGCAGTTCCCTGCTCTTAGTATGGACCCCGACCATAAAAGAACGTTCATGCTTACTATCCCGGCGGGCACCCGCGTGTTGTCTGCTCTGGTGGGTGTGTCCTGCTATCTTTGCTGCCTGGTGACTAAGGAGGGCCAGGTGAAGATGAACAAAGTAGGCACATCGAGCCTCTTCAACGAGGCACAACAGGCACTGAACCAGGTAAGTTTCCTATTCCTTGTGCCCTTTGCGGATCTTTCTTAGTTTCAACATGCTTTAATGATCTTATTGTTTTGTTTATCAGGCTTCAGTGCTTCACCATGAAAGCTTCATTCGTTCTTGAAGTCAACCAACTCGAGTTCGAGCTCAAAGTGCAAGTCCGGCAGAAGGACATGCATATGGTTCTCAATGAAAAAAAGACGAGGCCCTTAAGGATCTTCCAATTCTCTGAGCCGATCTGGAAAAAGAACAGAAGAAAACCTTTTCCGTGAAACTAGAGCATGTCGAACTGGTCGAGAAGGTAAGGATATTTTAGGCTAAAAATGAGAGGTTATGCGTAGTGACTAACGACGCAACCTCTCAGGTCCAAGAGAAGATAGACTTGATTGACCAGCTCCGGGCCGAGATGAACGAGGTGAAGACTACAACTGAGGCACTGAGGAGCAGGATGGACCTACTTGCCTCAAAAAAAGAGGCTACAACGAGAAGTTAGCTTCGGTCAAGGACCAGCTCTAGGTGGCAAAAAGACAAGGCCGACAAGTGGTCTCGGCTAAATGCCAAACTCCGGGTGCAACTGGATTCGACCATCTCGAAATGGGAGAATCTTGGCCGGGAATAAACTGTGCTGAATTCCAAATTAGAGGAAACCTCGATTGATTCCTCCGAGGTTAAAGAAATGCTCGCCTAGTATAAAACCGATGAGGAGATACCCTGTCGGTCGAGATTGAAGAGGCCAATAGGCTTGAGGCTGAGGCAAAAGAACTTTATGAGCCCAAAGGTTTTGCAAGTTCTGGTGCCGAGTCGAGCTCCAGTTAAGATTAGGCGAATATGCCTTAGCTCTAATTTTATGTTTCCTTTTTTGTACATTTTCTTTTTTGTTTATTTTGAGGTCGTTTTATCGTGCCTTTGTAAATAATTTTTGAATATATAAAAAATTTCCTTTGGCAACACCGTATCTTTTACTTTTCAGCATCTATTTGCAAATTTTTCTACTTTATTTGTGGATCGTTCTTAATGTCATAGCATAGAATTAAACGTAATCTGGAGCATCCATTCTTCGGAAGCCTGAATGAGGATCGATTTCGATGGAAACTCTGGATTGTTCGTGGCTTCGAAAGTTCGATAAAAATCGAAGGCTTTTAAGATACTTGAGTGTTCAGTCATACACGACGATGTTTTGCCGAGGTTAACCTTTTATTAGGTATTAATTTTACATAAGGGCCTTACTTTATGAGTACGGACTTCGGACGTCTCCGAGCCATTTTAGGTTGGCTGTAGCCTTTCATGTTCTGGCC